TATCATCGTGTATCTCTTTGATGTTCTTGTTTCACATATTTAGACCGCAATATGTTTACATTAGTAAGATCCCACAATAGCTTTACAGAAATCAAATCAAATGTGCAAATTGTGAGAAAACTGTACAGAACCTCAAAATAAGAATAAAAAATGGTAATGTTCTTACAAATAGGTTTAATGTTTTTAAATAAAAATATTCATTCTACAATCATTAAATAAATTAAATATAATTTCTAATTGATTCATGACATTTTATATAGCTTATGTATGTGTGTGCATTTATTATACGTTTTTTATTATTATTACTATTAGTAGTAGTAGTAGTAGTAATGCATCATTATTTTTAGGACTGCTAAAACTATTATAATTTCTAAAATAATAGGTTAAGTTTTATATGAAAAAATAATTTCTTATATTGAAAGAAAAAATATTTATATACAGTATATGTGCGTGTGTGTGTGTGTGTGTGTGTGTGTGCACTGCAGTCATCACCCTTGTCATGCCATTGCTGGTCATGTGTGCCAGCCTGCTGTGCCAAGTGACTTGCATTCTGACACAAACACTGACATCCAGTGAGTGTGTGCTTGTGTGTATGTGTCACATATGTAGTTTGAAATGCATTGAATTGTAAATGTGTCCTTATCAACACAGTCCTAGCAGCAGGTGCTTTAAGAAACAGCTCTCTCAACCTGTGTTGTGTATTGAATGAATATACTATAATTGTTGTGAGCTGAAAAGACCATAATTTGAATGTCAGAAGGGCCAAATTAGCTGAGATGTTGAGCAGATCACAAGGGGATCATGCTCATTCTTACATATATGTTAATAGTTTTGCAGTACAATTTGATGTAAATAGGCTAGTATGTCTATGGTTCTCAACTTAGTAGCCCCCCGACTGAGGCTGGTTTCTCCCAAGGTTTTTTCTTCTCCATTCTGTCACCTGATGGAGTTTGGGTTCCTTGCTACTGTCGCCACTGGCTTGCTTAGTTGGGGATATATTCAACAATATTATTGATCTGACTGTACTGACCCTGTTGTATGAGAACTGAACTGAGCTGGACAATGACATATTTTTTTACAGAACTGCTTTATAATTCATAATTTAATAATTGATGATCTTTACAATGGAACTGAATCAACACTGAACTGACTTCAGCTGAACAACACCCGAAAAGCATCATTTTCCTTTGATTGTGCTTTGAAACAATCTGTATTTTATAAAGCGCTATATAAATAAAGGTGACTTGATTTGAATAGTAATATGTACTTTTAAGGTACTAGCCTAGTATGAAGATTTTCAGGGTAAATAAGAATCAAAGTAGGTTCCCTCTAAGCTGCGCACGTGCGCGGTCGCGCAGAAAAGAATAAAATGCGACGCAGAAGACTGACGTGAAGATTTTGTGAATTATTTTTCATAGGATTTCTTGGTAAAGACTGTACAGTTAACAGCAGTTGAATTTCAAGTTAACAGGACTGTAAAAATCTCAGGTAATGTGCTTCATTTAGTGACTTCTTAATTAACTGCTTGTTTTTCAAAAATATGATTTAATACCAATTACATCAAGGGTCAAATAAAATAGAAATGGCACATTCAAGTTAAAAGTTACAACTGAATGTTGAAATTGTGTTTCTACGTATGCTGTACAGGTCAGGTATAAAGAATATATTTTTTAAAAAGAATACTTTTGGAAAAAGTTTTGCTCAGCAAGAAAATTTTTTAGAGGGAACATTGCTTAAGGGTACTGGCACAGTGACAAGCTGAAAAGCAATTTTACTTTCGTTTCTTGGATCCATATATAATCATGCATAGTTAGGATAGCAAATTAAATGCACTTATAAACTTAATTTCAGGACCACTTTTAAAATTACTCCTTTTATGTTCCACAGAAGACAAAAAGGTGTGGAAGAACATGAGGGTGAGCAAATGATTAATTTTAAATTATGCATATGTTGTAGCCATAGTTGCAAAGCAGCTTTGTGGGTTGTGAGTGTTTTAAGACTGTGTGTGTTTGCTATATATAACTTTCAAAAGTTTGGGGTCAGTAAGATATTTATAAAGAAATTAATTATTTTATTCAGCAAGGATGCATTAAATTGGTCAACCAGTATGGATCTATGGATGGGTAAAGGAATAGGCTTTTTCAGATCTTTCAATATAATGGACAAATAAGCAATTTACATATGAACGCGTCCGAAGACGACAGAAAAACATACAGAAAGCAGCAGCTTTTGTTTCTCCTCTGATAGCTACAAGAAATCAGGAATGTGAGAGAACATTGTGCTTGTTAAGTTTTTCGTCTTCAAACCAAATTTGGGTCTCCAGCTGACAAAGTTTAAATCCCTTTTGGCTAGTGCACTTCCCATAATGTTTACGCATTAGGTCAGTAGACGGAGAGAAAGCAGTATTTTGTGGCTGTTCAAACACATTCGACCATGAGCGTTTAACTTTACACTACGAAAGCAATCCAGTCAAATGCGTTTTGGACTACCTCTGAAAGTGGTCGAAAGTGGACAAGCTCAAAACATTTTAGACCCCGTTTACACCTGTATTTAGCGTCATACACTTGTGATCCGATGGTAGGCTAGTCAGTTCCTCTGAAATCCTCCACCTCCCCCAGCTCCACCTGTATAGATCTGCTACAGGATTTATGTATGCCTATTTATGCAGCAGCAGCATATCTTACATGCTCACAACACCGAGTCTGTGTATCTATTAGTAGTAGTAAGTCCATACTTCAGCAGCAGCAGTGTAGCAGATCTAGTCCAAGACCAAATACATTAACATTGCCGTATTCAATAACATGCTAAAACTATTCCTACAGTGCCGATGATACTCAGCTTTATTTTCCTCTAAAACCAGATACTGATTCAGTGTCCTCTTTGCTAGCTTGTTTAGAGGACATTAATACTTGGATGGACAACAATTTCCTTCAACTAAATCAGAAAAAAGACTGAAGTTATGTTGTTTGGCCCTTCACACCTTTTAAATAATTTAAGTCATACCCTGGGCCCCCTTCAAGATAACATTCGTGATAAAATTAAAAATCTGGGAGTTACCCTTGATCGATCCTGAGTTAAAATTTGACAAACAGATCAACCCTGTTGTTAGAGCCAGTTTTCTGCAGCTTAGGGGACTTCGCAATCTCAAAAATTATCTGAGTTTTCGCAATTTGGAGACTGTTATCCATGCATTCATCTCAACCAGGCTGGACTATTGTAACGCTCTATATGCTGGAATCAATCAGTCCTCTCTTTCGCGCCTTTTAACTGGTTCAGAACGCTGCGGCTCGTTTTTTGACAGGGACAAAAAAGAGGGAACATAGCACACCCGTGATAGCATCCCTTCATTGGTTACCTGTTAAATTCAGAGTTGATTTAAAGGTTTTAGTATTTGTATTTAAACGGTAACTAAACCCCTGGTCAGAGCCTGACTCCACCCACTGGCAATATTTGAAAAATGCTGGAAAAGTGGGCGGAGCCCAGCGGAGATAGAGGGGATGAACTCTATCCTGATCGTTTTCAATACTCGCAATTCCAACTCCTGACTCACTACAGTGGTTTTGACGAAACAAGATGGTTTTTATACTGCCATGGGCGTGGTAGCTCGTACCAAGGGCGTGGTAAGCTGAAACCTGCTTACGTCACCGCTACCGTCACGAACCACCGCAAACATCCAATAGGAAAATTCAACTGCAGTAGCCACCGTTCAACCTGAAGAGGGCAGCACTCAGACGTTTTTACACCATATATTGTAGAATTAAAACACTTTATACCCAAATGTCAAAAAAGTTACTCGAATCAGTGAACAGCACTAATAAAGCCCCAGTCTTACAGATCATTAATTAAAAAAAGTTGGTTTAGTGTTTAGTTACCCTTTAATGCACTTCATTGTCTTGCCCCCACTTCTCCATTATTACTCTCCTAAGAGAATGCTCAGATCCTCCACCCAGCTATTATTGATTGTTCCAAAATCTCGACTGAAGTCCAAGGGTGAAAGGGCTTTCTCAGTTCTACAAAGCTGTGGAATTCCTTACCTTTTTCCATTAGATCATCCCCTACTCTATCCATATTTAAATCATCTCTTAAAACATATTTTTCTCAGGCTTATTCTTGATCCGATTGCACTTTTAGTTTTAATTGTTTTATTTGCTTGATGATGTTTTGTGTTAAATTTATTATTTTCTGATGTTTTCTTCTGATATATTTTATTAGTATTTAAATTTGATTGTATTATGATATTTTGCTATGTCTGCTTTGCAGCACCTTGGTCAGCATTCTTGTTGTTTTAAGGTGATATATAAAAAGCACTTACTTTTAAACTTTCTATTCGCAAAAAGGTCAAACTTAATGTATATATTTGTATTAATGTATTATGTTTTAAAAATTGATACTTATAACAAGTTTCTTGAGCATCAAATCATATTAGAATGGATCATGAATCATGTTACACTGAGGACTAGAGTAATGATGCTGAAAATTCAGCTTTGACATCACAGGAATAAATAACATTTAAAATATATTTAAATAGAAAACCGTTATTTTTTAGGGGAGGGGAGGGGGGCTAAATGAATGTTAGCTCTATGTTTAATATTCACTGATTTAGTGAATTTGCCTCTTCTTCGATTGATAAGGTCACTTAGTGTGTGTTTGTGTTTGTGTCCATTAGCATATCCGTATGTGTACTGTGCACGCTACCGAGATCATCCACCACGAGACATTAATAGTGCTGTTATATTAATAACATGTCAGTCAGAGGGTTTTTTCCTCTTGATCTGAGAGGTGATATTTGCTTATGTGATTATCATCCTAATACATGCGCGGTTGTGTGTTCTCCCTGCAGTCAATGACACTGAGAATGATTTGCAATGGTAATCAGTGGTTGTGTGGGTAAAGTGACCTTGATGAACATGCGTGGCGTTTATGGTGTACATTACAAGATGTGACAGCTGTTTGTGTGGATATTGTGTGTGCGTGTGTGTGTGTGTGTGTGTCTGTCTTACCCATAGTCTTGAGAGAGGAGTATTTGTTGAAGCCCAGGTTGTTGTGTGGCTGGGACAGAGTCATTGCGGAACTCAAAGGAGGAAGCGTGACGTTATTCAGGTGGTTATGCTCTGAAGGAAGAGAGAAAGCACAAAGGAGCAATCGAGAAGGAGGAAAGGGAGCAAAGAAGAGAGAAGGGGACACAAGAAGGAGGGGCGTGTTAGTAAATGGGAAGTCAGCACATTTATAGCGACAAGTGCATGCGATTAGGATAAACTCTTCCATTAATTTAAGCGAGTAAAGGGGAACGAAGGACATGCAAGCATAGCCAGAGGAAGATCTTATAGCTCAGAGGTTCCCGTAGAGCACAGTGCTAGCATCGCCAAAGTCATGGGTTTCGGTTCTCAGGGAACATGTGAACTAATGCCATTGATGCACATTAAGTCACTTTAAATAAAAAGTGTCTGTTTTATAAATGTAAATGTATATAGGCTGCTCTTGCATAACACAATCCTAATTTGTTTTATACAAGTATACTGCAAAAAAAAATATATATACTTTTTCAATTCTTTTTGACTTGTTTCCCAATTAAAATATCTAATAATCCTTAAAACAAGACCGATTTAATTGAGAAGTAGCAAAGCATAAGATATCAAGACAAGTTTTCAGAGAAAATACAGTGTGTTTTACCATATAAAGCCTACTTATCATTTTTGATACGCAAATTTCTAAGGCCTAGTTATCAACATGATCAAAGCTTTGCTGGATGAATTTTAGAATTTATTATAATTTCATAAAGCTATCAGAATGTCTGCCATAAATATCAGCAACTGCACCAATTTGCATACTTTTGCTCAAAGTAAAAAAAAATGTCCTCCTAAAACTCCATATCCTCCTATATAATGCAATATATCTTATGTATTAGCATGATAAATGAGCCATAAAAGCCTGATGTATCAAATATGATGACATACAAACTTTTTTAGATTTTGTCTAAATTCAATAAACTGTTCCATTTCAAAAATTATTTCATATGTCAGGCTTTACAGAGTTAAAGTGTATTTTGGCTTAATGCACTGGCATTTATTCCTGTTTTAAGTATAAACAAGTTAAAAATAAGTGGAAAAACATCTATCAGTACAATAAAACAAAATACACATATTCAAAACAAGTCTATCTTATGGATTGTCAGTTCTCAAATAAATAAACCTTCCTTAAAGGTTCTTCTATATTTTGCACAAAATAAAAAAACTAGTCTTTTACAGTGTATTAAACAATGTCTTTGATGTTTATTTTAAAATTCCTTTAAAGAAATAAAATGGACAATTGTTGAAACATAATACAAGTGTAGAACTGTCAAATAAATGTGGACAGCAAAGCTCAGATCAGTTAGTCTTGGAGGAATTTGATGAGAAGTGCTTGAGGTCATATAAAGGACAACAGTGAACATCCACCCACTTTTTTTTTTTTTTTTGGCAGTTTTGGTTCCGGATGTTTTTCCCCCATTTATTTTCTTATTTTCTTATTTTCATTATATTGCATTTCGAAAAAAGTTCCAATGGGACTATGTACTTAAAGTGCCCCTATTGTGGTTTTTCGAATATGCCCTTTCATGCAGTGTTTAATACAGCTGTTTGTGAATATAAACGTTCTGCAAAGTTGTAAAGTCAAAAGTGCACGATAAATACAGTTATTGGGTCTTATTCATGAAACATTCGTAAATATACGAGTAAATATGCGAGTGATTTGCGCGTAAAGAGACCTTCCCGAAAACTCTTCTCCTGATTCACAAATACTTAGTTAACGTCAGATGTGATAGTGAAATGTGTGTGTGTGTTAATGAATTCCAATCAGTCGTAAATGGGATGCGCGTGCACGTTCATTCTCAATTACCATAAATCCTGCCCATTAAATCCGACTGACAACTATATATGGGCATCATATTATGACATGAATGCGAATGAAAAAAAAAAAATTCTCAGATGCAGAAATTGAAGTTTTATTATCAGAAGTTCATTCAAAACGCCACATTTTATTTTCAAGCGTACATGGCGTATCGGGTCCTAAAAAAAAAGGAAGCTTGGCAGCATATTACAGATGCAGTTAATGGAGTTTCATCTGTTAATCGAACATTCCCAGAAGTGAGAAGAAAATGGTTCGACATTAAGCTTGAGAGCAAAAAACGAATTAGTTCACTTCGGAAAAATAGTATTCAAACTGGAGAAGGACCACCATCGCAGATGCTATTACTGGCTCTCATAATAAGAAAAACCGTATGTAATTACTATATATAATATTTTTTCAAAATGCTGTGCAAATATGTACCCGATTAAGGTGAATTAAAATGCAGCCTTATTAATGAGCAAAACGTTCGGGTGTTAAGCGCACTATTTACGCGTGGCTGGGAGCAGGTGTAGATTTCTTGTGTACCAACTAACATTTGGAAAATACGAACATTTTAATGAATCCGAAAATTTACGCCAGAACCACTTTACACACGATTTACACAAACATTTGTTCTGCTCGTGTTTCATGAATGAGACCCACTGTCTCTTAAAAGAAAGAATCAACTGAACCGCCTAAACGAGTCCTTTTTCATTCGAATCCCACTGCTTTCCAGTTCTACGTCACTAGAAGATACATTTACATAATGCCCGCCTATGTTGTACGTTGTCCGCCCGCGAACAACTTGACCAGCCCACAAACACATCATTTTACTGACGACTGCTTCTCAAATCTCGCTGGAGTTCAACACGGGATTCTTTAAATGCTTGGTCTTGAAAGACGGGTCAGTACCCAGTTTAGTTGGACCAGCTTGCTCCTCAGAATCACAACCTGTAAGTATGAATAATAATTCTACCGGGAGTTCAAAATAGTTTTGTGTTTTATATTGTGTAAGTCTCCAGCTAACCTGCCAACTCATGTTATTGTTAAGCGTAGCGTCAATTCTGGCAGGTCACGTTAGTCAAGCTCGCATCAGCTGACTCTCTCAGCTGATCCACGTCTACCTATAGGAATATGACGCCTATCACTGTATACATATATAAGCTCCTTCAGTATTATCAACAGCTATCGCGTTTCTCAGGAGCTAATTACCCTCCTCCATCCCCAGCTCCTCCTCTCGCCCAGTCAGTATGGCATTCTGATTCCCCTTGAATCAGAATATCTCGAATTATGTTGTACTTTAAAATCTTGAATTAATGATATCTGCAATACATTCATATTGGTTCTGTTCTGTTTACCCTAAGGGGAGTTATTACTGCTCTCTCTGCTCTTATCCATGCTAGGCTGCATGGATGCGCAGGGAGTTCTCGCCCAGAACAGAACCATACCGCCAATCCTAACTGTATGCTAACTGTCAATCGTGTTTGACGATAGTGGTCCTGACAGAAATTGTCTTACTGAAATACTACTGCAAATCATTACCACTATTACCTAAAACTGTGTCTATTAATGCAGATGATCGGATGTCGGATGAAGGATGGAGCAAGATTTGGTTTGCAAACTTTAATGTTACAGTGATTCACGTTAGTGCCCACGCATGTGCACCACAATGAATTAGAAATATACACATCGGTTGGTTGATGGACATACACTTGTTAATGCTGATGGTGAGGAATTACAGTTGCAACATCTCATAATGTACCTCAAACTGAGAATTATATCACTGAGAAACGTCCTGCTCAAGTCGTCCTTGCGATGGAGGTTCGGGTTGAAGAACTAGTTCTTCCAATGTTTCATCATTGGATTCGCACTTGGATTTATATGGTAAAATCAACGTCATTGTTACTGTCTTTACTGTGTGTTCAATCACTGAGGACTCAGGAAGCCGGATGGAGCTGAAGTTCAGTTATGGTAATGGGTGTTTAGCTTCCGACACGCGCTGTGCGCGGTAGACCAATCACAACAGACTGGGTCATCTGACCAATCAGAGCAGAGTAGACCAATCACAACAGACTGGGTCATCTGACCAATCAGAGCAGAGTAGACCAACCACAACATATTGGGTCATCGGGCCAATCAGAGCAGAAAATACTAAATATAAATGTTTATTGAGAGTGTAGAGAGACAATTTTGATTAAGTCATTTGCAATGCTTCATATGAGCGAGCAGTCACTGTTGAGCTCTGTTGATTTCCGCTTCCATAGTAAAATTGATTTCTTTCATCAGATGTGTGTAGTGTAAATCTGAGTACAGTTTTAAGGCATTGTTGGGATCTCTTCTGAAACTGAAGGAGACGTGAGATTACTGGCATCTTTTTCTCATGAGAAAATTTAAGGTCATTGATGTCTAGTAGAAACAACTGAGAGAGAGATCACATTTTGTCTTTCCCATGGGCATGTTTGTGCATGCATGCAATTTATGTCCATTTTTGATGCGGATGTTTGTTAGACTGCAATATACACGATTATCTGCGGTCTATATGCTGTGCTGAGGTCACCTAAAGGTTATTTGGGACACACACACCGTGTCCTCCCCTTTGGGCTGGGGTGTGTGGATACTGACCCGATTCTGTCAGACCACTACTTGCTTGTGTGTGTATATGCACTTAACGTATGCATGTTAGTGTAAGTGCATATGTGCGCTTTTAGTGTGGCAGGATGGATCGTTACTCCACATACACTAACGCTCACATACATGCAGTCTAGTTACAATTAAATCCTGTTATATCACCGCAAATGGACTCAGGTCACGAACGATGGTTTATGTGCACATGACATATAGGCATTGTGTTTATCGACACTGTCTGACACAGTTTAAAAGGGGTAATTGTGCGCATGCAATCACACAGTGTTGTAAAAAGTATGTTTCTACTTTTCAGTCCAGATATGCTTTCAAATTGCTGTCAAATGTGATTTCTGCATATATTTGTGTTAGTTTGTTTACTTTCCACAGCTTGATGAATTCTGATCATTTTGAAAATGACAATTAAATATCGCAGCACTAAAGGCTGGTGATATGTAAAGTACAACACTGACTTCCGACTTGTTTTGGTTCTGGAAGTGCTTTTCCCAGTCATTTACTCCTCTGGGATTACAAACAATTCTTCAATAAGAAGTTCACAGCAAGGGATCAAACCAACAAAGATAAATCATAACATCACAAACTTTGATTTGAAGCTAAAGAGTAT